ATTTTACTTTATATAAAATGATGATGCTAATGACTGTTCCATTCTGTGCCATCATTAAATGGACAAGGTTGGATTGTGAAATGGAACACATTTCCACAATAGCTAAATTACTGGAAAGAATGGGGGAGCTTTTCAAGGATAGCTAAATTACAGAAAAGAGTGATTACTCTTTTCAAGGGTGCAGGAAAAGAGTGAAGCTCTTTTCCAGGATAACAATTCTGTGTACTCAGAAAGCTCAGTTTGAATGGATCGGCGGTGTTGCTGTTGAAAAAAACCTACCAATAAAACAATGCTGTTCACGTATGATTATTTTTTTCAAGATCTATGTATACAAATAAACAGTATTTCAGAAGTGAAAATGTCGTTTGAAAAGATGAATCAATCCCCATGATCGATTTTTTTAAAAAGGGTTTCAGTCCTAAACTCCTTATGCTGTACGGTACAATGTGGTCTTTAATTTTTTTCAAATAATTGCGAGCGTTGAAAATAACGAAGCTTCTTTGAAAAACGTTGAGAATAATAAAAATATATTAACGGTATATAGTATAGCAAATGGCGGCTTCATAAAGTACATAATGCAAATAACCCCCATCAACAGTATACATTACTGTTATTGATCGTTTCACATGCAGAGATTAATATGTGTGTGTGTGTGTGTATTTTTTTATGTTGCTCGTCCATCTAATAATAGGATGTGAGACGAGTGGTACAAATCTTCCGGATCATGCGTATCCTGCGAATCCTGAAGCTGGCCCGGCACTCGACGGGCCTGCAGAGCCTGGGATTCACACTCCGCAACTCGTACAAAGAGCTCGGACTGCTCATGTTGTTCCTGGCCATGGGCGTGCTCATCTTCTCCAGCCTGTGCTACTTTGCCGAGAAGGACGAGCCGGGCACCAAATACACGTCGATCCCGGAAACGTTTTGGTGGGCCGGGATCACGATGACCACCGTCGGTTACGGCGACATCTACCCGGAAACCCCGTTGGGCAAGATGATCGGCAGCGTGTGCTGCATTTGCGGCGTGCTCGTCGTTGCTCTGCCCATCCCGATCATAGTCAACAACTTCGCCGAGTTCTACAAGAATCAGATGCGGCGGGAGAAGGCGGTGAAACGACGCGAGGCACTGGAGCGAGCCAAGCAGGAGGGCTCTATCTTGTCCTTCCAGCACCAGCTCAACGTCAGTAATAAGGACAACTTGTTTAACACCAAGTCCATGGACCTAATGGATGTCATGATCAACACGGGTTTGTCTCTTTCTTTCTTTCTTTCTTTCTGGCGCTCTTGCGTCACATCCGTCGTTACTCGTCCTTATTTATCTAATTGCTCTTCAATTGTGAGTGAATCACAGCGCATATTACTGTACCATCATATGCTCCACACGTATATACAGTATACTGTACTGTGTGTGTTTTACCGTCGTAGTTATGAGATACAATGTGCGGTGTACCAGACGAATCTCACAAGTGCTGGATTCATCTTTGCTGCCGGCCACCTTCTTGGATTGCGACAAAATTAGCTGTACGCTGTAAATTACTCCATAGTCTATACTGTAGTTTCTGCATTGCTGGCGTGTATATATGCCGCATCAGAGAAGGGAAATTACAGTACGTCGCGCATCACGAGTGTCACATGAATAGTAACAGAAAGAAATAACGTAAATATCAAACGAGCAACTACGTAACAGCTAGCCAGGAACGGCAAGACGAAAAGTTGGCAGTCTCATCAATAACTATTGTATAGGTGTCACGTAATTGGCGGACTTTGGAATTCCTTGAACTTTATCGATCAATTTTTCCAAATACAGTACTGTGCTGCATAACTTTCCTACATTAGAGAAAAGGAGGCAGCCCATTTGGCACACATGAGCATTGACTATGAGTACAGTGCTGTAATCCCTTATACAGTACAGTACATAGTATTGTACTATACTTCCATGTTCATAAAAGGCACTTCATTAGAAAGTCCGCTTGTCTTGCTAATGCGACTGCATTCAAACGCGAGGGCTGAAAAGCAGTTATGATTTATGAGACCTATCTTCGAAGCCTGAGATGCTTAGCCTTTTCCTCTAAAGCCAAGAAGGTGATACCGAATTCAGGGGCGGCACGTTGTGATTATTCATTTGTTTTCATCGGTTGATTGGATCGGGGAAAGAATCTTCCGCCAATTTAGAGGGGTGCGGAAGCTAGAGTGCTGTTACGATTTTGAAAATGTCTGTGATCTTTTCTCCCTTGGCTGTGATGATCAATGGTTTATGTGTTTGTGTGTTGCGGCGAGCATTGATTCTCAATCTTTTCTCACTGTTTCTCTCTCTTTCTCTTCCTCGCATTCATGCACAAATATCGTCCTTTTTTTTTCCCGCGCCATGACTGCTATGTGTGTTTCTTTGTCACCCTCTTTGATTTGTATATGTGTTGCAATCGGATGAAAGAAGCAGTTGTTGTACCAGTGGAACACAAAGAAAGAAGCGTTCAGCTCAATGGAGGTGACTCTGTCCAGAGCAAAAAAAAGCCTCAGGAGTATATTTTCTTGCTAGTGTGGTGGTGAATTAGGGATTCATAGTAGTTGAGAGTGAGCATTAGTGCTTTCATATGAGAAGCAAGAGAGCAAAAGCTTAGCTTGATTTAATTTGAAAACAGTACAGTACAAGTACTTACTCTTTCATTTTAGACCGATTAGAAATTCTACCGAGTATTTTGTTGGCAGATTTTTCACCTTTCCACTTTGTCCTTATCCAGGAGTATTTCTTTTGTCGTAATCTCCTTTTCTGCTTTGAAGCTTCAAGATCATGGCGAATAACTACAGTACTGTAGAATGAGTAGGGTATGTGAATTAGTCAAAGTGCAGTCGCTATTGTCAATTATTGCAATACATAATTTTCTTCGAAACTTATAACTTTTATAAGTTGAGAATCTATCAAGTTTTGCCTTGTTTTGTTTTGTTTTTTTCATTCGTAAGACTGGAAATTAGGTGGTAATTTCGATCTAGAGGAAGTTATTGTGATGCCAGAATGCCGTAGTGTTCCGGTGCACATGTTTTTTCTAATAGCTGGAAGACCTTTAGAATAAGGTGGGAGCAGTTTAATTTGAAAAAATGAAGGCTCGTTAAGATGTATGACGTGAGTTTCCCTAATGGATTTAGCAACGCGTTTGATCGTCTTGAACCATTCTTTAGTTCCGTTGCGTTTGTCTGTACAGTATTGAGATTTATGAAAGATTGACGCATTGCGTGTTATTTTTTAATCAATTCATGTAGCTTTGCGGAGGTGCTTTAAAACAATTTCAATTGATGCTCAATTCGGTAGGAGTGTGATGGTGAATGGTTGAGCGGTTTGTGTCATGCACCTTGACAATAAGCGAGGTGTGCAACTTATGCATTTGAACAGTACTGGGCAGTATTTTATTTTGTTGGCAGGATGGCATTGTGTTGTTCATGCTGTCCACATGATGTACGTTGGCTATACTTGTATACTTGTTGTGCCATGGGTCACACTTGTTGTGCCATGGGTCACAAACTTATCCAGCAGTTGCCAAGTACTGTATTCTTCCTAATCATCTCGGTTACATTCGACCTGGTGTCTCTTTCTTTTGTTGGCTGCGTTGGAATTTAATGTCGTGCATAAATAGGGATTAGGAAAAGTTTAGCTGGATGAAAAGGCAAATAAGTTCAAATTCTGCACATTTTGGATGCATCGAATTGTTGTTGGTCCGGTGAAGGGATGTTATTCAAACAGAACTCTGATTCTCTCTCACCCTTCCGATCACATCCTGAATAATAATACGAACGCCTTTTGTTTGTTTGCTTGAACTTATTGAAAGGATGGACGTATCGCTTGAATCGGAGACGATTGGCATATAGAACCACAGCAGCTCTCCATCAGAGTGTGGTAGTGCTGGTACTTTACGATAAATAAGGAAACCTGCTCATTTTAGAAAAGCTTCTGACTGACTCAGCATCGGAGTTGTTCAGTAAATTTGTCCAATTTTAGCCCAGGTTTTGCGCTGTTGAGTATTCTTATTATAGTACAGTACAGTATTATCGAAACGAATGAAAAAAGAAAAAAGAAAACTCGAAGCAGGTTATTGTGCCACGCTTATCGTGGCATATACTGTATATATAGTATAGTAAGGTGGTATCCGTAGTTGAAGTACGGTAGTAGTGCTGGTGGTGGTGGTGATGAAATGTCAGAGATCTGTTTGGCTGCTGTCCCCGTTGCATGTCACGACGCATTCCAGAGAGCAAATCGAGAGAGAATGCATCCCTTCATCTTGCTGTACCTTAGTTGTGGCAGCAGCAGATGCAAATTACTGTTCTGTGCTACAGAAATAACCCCCGAGTGTCCTGTCCATTGATGCGTGGCTTTTTGCTCTGCTCCCATCCTCCAACCCCATCATCGTATTGGCCGTGTCCCTCCAAACATTGGCGAGCAGATGAGCAAGGAAGGGACATGTCGCAAGTGGATGCCAACAGCGTGGGCAGCAACAGCATTGCTGCTGGTGCTGGGAAGGGCGTCAGGACTGGTTCACATCACTTCAAGAATCATGGTGCTGCCGTTGCCTCCAGCAACAGCCGTCGTGCGAGTGTCAACAGCAATGGCATAGGAGGAGGCGGAGGTTTCATCCACCACCAGCAGTGCCGCCCCAGCATCAGGAACCCCATGCTGGCCCAGCCAGAGCAGGACAACATTTCCCTTCTTGGTTCTTCCTCAGTGAGTCTTTCACGTATACAGTATATGAATATATTCAGTGTACATGGATAAACTCGTGTGTGTGTGTGTGTGTGTGTTTCGATCAGCCACAGCGTTATTGTTATTTTTCATAATATCAGTTCCTTTTTTCCCGCAGGAACCGTATCATACAGTAATTCTTTTGAAAAGCTAGAACTGAGAACTGATCTGCTTGCTGCATGTTTTTGAATCGAAGGCTTTTTTCTATTTTATTTTTAACCATAAACAAAGCATTTTCTTGCAAGAGGAGCCCGAAATAATAAAAGAGTGTACTGTATGAAAGAACTCTGTCTAAATAAGAAATTTCTTTTTGTTGACTGTATCCTCTCTGTGAATTATACCCTGTAGCGAGTTTTTCAATTCTTGCTTTCTTTTTTTGAGGGGTAGAAGTTTGACTGTTGTGATTATGCACTTAATATCACTCTTGTACAAAGTACTACATTATGCAGTTTTATATTATATAGCTTTTGTTCCCTGGTGGAGGGAGAAATGCATTTGTGCAAAACCCAAAGGCGATGTTATGATTTAGAGATGCTTTCCGGCATTTCCTTCTCATTTAAGGACTGCACTGACATGACCAAAGAACACAAAAAGAAGAAATGGTTCCTTTCTTGGTTCAAGTTCATTTCGCCAAATGGAAATTTTGTCGACTTTTCTATTTATCTAGAACTGTTTCCATCCGAGAACTGCACCATTTTGCCCGGAGGAAAAAGATAAAGTGATCAGCCCTATTGTTTTAAAGCGCAGTACAGTACTGTACTCTGTATTGGTCTATTGATTGATTGATTGATTGATTGTGGGGAATTGTGAACCTTCTGATGCTGCAGGAGATGCCAAGCGCGAGGAAGACTAGGCAACCAGAAATGATGAAGCCTGAACTGCAGGGGTTCAGTGACTGTTGCTTTTGCGCCACCAAGGTAGGGGGGAGGAATGCGCTTTCTTGAGTCTTGCTTTTTAATTGTGCGTGTATATATATATATACGTGTGAAGTACACTTCTTGTCCTCCTTGTCCTTACAAATGTGACGTATGTGTGCAGCTGTAAATCTGGCGTCGATGGACAGCAGACGCTGACCTGTCAACATGAGCCAATCATTTGGCACTGGTCTTGCTTGTTCATGCTTGCTTGCTTACTTGTCATCCTATATAGGGAGATTGTTCATGATCCCCACGTGTTCAAACTAAAGTGCAAAATCTTTCCTTTCGCATCAAACCTGGATTGCATTTGTAATCTGTAGTTGTTGGTGTTGCGCTGCATTGTGTATATTGACAATTTTGAATGGCAAATTCAGTGCATGGGACTCTCCCAGCTTTCATTGAAAGCTTTCACCTCGTTTTAGATTTTGGTTGTTGCCCCTGCCTCTGTTTCTGTATGTGTGTGTCGCTTTGACGAATGAAATAAATTAGGATGAAGTCAAAAAAAAATCTTTGGTTAAGTAAGTACAATATACTGTACAACTGTAAGAAATGCGTTTGCAGCAGCTTTCGAAGTACTGCATGTATATTTGGCTGCTGAACAGCCGTTTTTGTTTGTTTGTTTGTTTGAAAGACAAATATTGCGTTGAAATACTGTAGTAACAGAAGTAAGCAGAGCTTCCCGACAGAACGCCTCAACTCTTTCTTCTGATTGATCAAAGCCGTCGATAAATTACCCCGAAATGGCCGACATTCACAGAACCACATTTATTTTTGTGAAATGCCATGATCATTTAAAACGTGGCATGAAGTAGAGCTTGGGAGCTGTTGTACCTACGCCTTGTTGGGCTATGGCGCAGGTTTTCTGCTGAGGTTCTGTGGGCCCTTTCTTGGGGGCATCACATGAATAACCTTGTATAGAATTACGGTAGTTTATGTGCATTTGACATAGTGCGCCAGAGCGACGATAGGTGCACAGCATGTGTACGTAGAGACTATATTGCGAACTATTGTAGACTATTGTAATTCATGAAACATGGCGTCCATTTCGCATGATGCCCTCTTTTTTGTTTTATTTTACTTTTTTTGAAGTTGATTTTGTAAGCTTCAATACCAATAAGATAATGATTGAGTGAATGCGTCTATAATTTAATTTTTTTTTCTTCTTTTAGCAGGACATGAAGGAGTTCATGGATGCCAAAAACTTCATTCCCTTGGGCGCGAGTGATATGGGCGGAAATGTCGCTTCGCAAAGACATCATTGCCGACGCCAGCAGCAAGAATACAGCCAATACCGGCAACGGAAGCACTCGAGTTCGTTCGCGGAGGTGTCAATGCCGACACAGGTGCCGCTGGTGTCCACTGTGGCAGATTGCATTAGTAGTAGCAGTAGTAGTAGGAAAAAGGTGATGCGCGGCGCGTCAGTGGGTGATGTGGGCTCCATCGCGAGTTCCGAAACCTACGCCACCTGCAACACTCACCCATTTCCGTCAGAAGGGGATCTGGCACAAACAGGGAATGCTGCAGAAGGGGAAGATGACGAAGAAGAAGAAGAAGATGAGGAGGAAGAGGACAATGCCAAGCTGCACAATGGTGATGGCAATAAAACCTGTCACCTGCAGCACAATAAGCAAGTGAGGGAACAATACAGTACGATGACATGTTCTTTTCAGTCTCATTATTCTCTCTTGTTCGAAATGACGATGAGCAACTTCCAATTATTATTTTTTTTTGCGACGCATTGTGCTGTTATCATGTCACATCAGTGTTTCTTGTATTATTTACTCTATTTATAATTTTGCAGGGGCGAGTCTACATGAACCCGTTGGATGAATTGATGAGTGCACTTGACAAAGAACGGGCGCATCGACGACACAAGCACTTGCCGCCTCACAAGTGCAAATCAGGACACCATCGTCATTCTGGCCAGCAAGAGCAACAGCAGCAGCAATCAACGAAAACAACTGGGTTTGAGCATAGGGTCCCTGCAGCAGCAGACGGCACCAGCACAGGTTTGTTTGTGGCAACGTGTATACTCTCATTGCCACGATTCGAACAATCAAGTCCTTATTTCGCATTGACAGGTATCAATGATGGTGGAAACCTGTTGTTGCTGGACAGTACTGCTGCTGGCGGGAATCAAGACTTGGCGCCAGCATCGCTGAACAGAGCCGTGTCGCGGACTAACTCCTCGCCTTGCAACACTAGAACGACAAACCAGTTGGTTGGTAAAGAGAAAAAGAAAAAAAAAAGTTCTTCCACTCGGCTCTTTATTTTATTCTATTATATTTTCTTGTCTTTCATCCCACTCGTGCTGCTGCTGAGTCGAGTGCTGTCTTCATACTTAGTGCAACCTCGTGAATCAGAAGGCTATTGTCACGTAACTACTCTCTCAAAGCTGCTTCAAAGATTTACGAATTGAAAGGAAAGAAGAAGAAAACAAAACAGCTAGAAGAATAAAATAAAGTCTGAAACAGGGAAGTGCTGAGCTAAGATATTCGATCCTTTGTTTTCCTCTCCCAGCACAAAGACCAGGAAGGATTAAATTTGTGTCATTCCAACTCCAGCTTTTAAAGGGTTTACCTAAAAGGAAAGAACGAAGTGCATAAATGCTGTATAAATATACAGTACAGTACAGTATATGCAAGTATACAGTAAGTATATTTTCAGGGGACATTGCGATTACTATCACTGTTCATTGGTTTTTTTGCCTTGAAGAAATCACTCAATTTATTTTACATTGGAAGTTGGACATGAAGAATGCTGAAGCAGCGTAACTCTCTTGATGAATATGGACTTTTGTTTTGTTTGCATCCAGCTCATTTCAAACCCTTATCTTCAATATTTCTTAAAAATCAGTGTTGGGTTTTTGAGTTACAATATTGACTTTCGGCCAAATAATGTATTGATAGTGAATGATCCATTTAGTGATTCCTGTCCTGGTTTTTTTTTCATTGGCAGGCCTCTGTCAAGATGCAGACAAGATTTGGCACCAAAATGGCAAAAAGTGCTGAAGAACCATCTGACAGGATGGAGACACCGAGTGGCTCTCTGAAACGCCAGACAAGGACTGCAGGTGGTGGGGATGAAATGCCCCTGTTGAGGCCAAAACGCAGCAAGCCAAAAGCCGCAGTTGGTGCTTTCCATGAGCCATCTTCTGCTGCAAAAGGTAATACAGTATAGTATAGAGCACTCTTCCTCTCTTTCTGCTGGCTGAAGTATTTTGATTTATGGTACTGATGTACAATGCTAATTTACTACTCGTCCGTCTTGCTATAAAAGGAGGAGGAGTGCAGCAAATGCTAAATGGTCCTGTTTTAGGCCTAAAACAGTAAAATACACCTACTCAACCGCAAACATCACTCATGCGTATATGAGCAAGGATTGTCGCACAATTATGCTGTACTGTGTATATCCCAATTCACAATGCTGTTGATGCTCATCCATTTATGTGACATTGGAAAGTTTTGCACTCCGGGGTTTTTTTTTTTTTTCCTCTTCCCATAGCTCATATGACGAGAGTGGGCTTGCTTTTCATGCACTTTTCGATGGCGATTTCTATGAGGAAAATGACATACATGCAGTATGTCAAGCAAAACTCTTGCGTGTCTCACATTGTTGTGGGGGGGGGGTACATTTTCTGTCTTCATAAGCTGCGCGAAATGTGACGCTCACCAATTCTCACAACGCACCAAAAATACAGCAGTGTATACTGAATTGCATCTGTCATCAATCAGCCTTGATTTTCTGTTGGCTGCGAAAAACTCAAGGCTCTTCCATATTTATTTAAAAATGATTTTTTCGCAGTGATTCCAATGGGACAAAGTTCTGCACCACTTGCACAGCCAGCCACTGCACTGTGATCATATGCTGATGCACTTCCCTTTCATTGGTGGGTGTTATCCGCTTCTTTTCTTTTTCCGTCTTCATGTGCTTATTACGTGGCCAACTCAACTGCCCAATTACACCTTTGCTGCTTCGGCTTTATTTACTGGCTCTTTTTTTTTTTCTTCAATTCCATCCAGTGTCTTGCGCTTCTCACCTGAAATACTGTACTCGACTCCGAAACTGCCGAGTACCTGATTTGTTTTCGTATTGACCAATTAACAGCATTTTCACAGTATATATGTGCTCAGGTTTTTTCGTCGTTCGTCCTTGAATGAGTTTTTCGTGAAACGTTGAGAAACACTTCGTGATTCATTTTTGAGGACCTTACCCTGAGATTTTTTTTTACATGAATACAGTATTCAATCAAAGCAGATGAATGATGTTCTCATCCAGTCCGTATACGAGGGGTTTCACGATTCAGCGCGGACTTGAGGTGATCTGAACAGCACCAGGGATGAAAAATTTTCTTTTCCCATGTTCACTAGTTCCAAGCAGTGGCTAGGCGGACACCTTCTCAACGTAATCGCCGCCAATTTTTACACACTTTTCAGCCCTTGTGATCCATGTGTTGAGACAGGCCTTGAAGTGTTTTAGTTGTTTAATTTTGAACCTCCCGCAAAACAGCAGCAACAAGCTTATCCCTTGCTTCGAAATGTTGGTCTTTCATAATGGCTCCATCAGCTTTGGAAAGAGCCAAAAGTCAGAGGGGACCAGGTGAAGGGAGTAGGGTGGACGTATCAAGACATTCAGGCCCGATTCCTCTGGGCAATGGACGGTGGACTTCGTTTTGTGGGCTGGGGCAATTGTCATGGTGGAACTACTGCTTCTGTTTTGACACATGGATCAATAAAAGGGCGGAGAAGTGTGAGCGAATTGGCTGCGATTACATCGAAGAACTGTCTGTCTAGTCTCTGGGATACCGGGGAACATGAGAAAGATGTTGAAAAAAAAATCCCTGGTCTTCAGATCTTTTAAAGTCCGCGTCGAAACGATTCCGCGCGGAACCATGTGTTACCCCTTGTATGCTTAAATGAGTCGGCGCGGAAACGAGTCCGTGGGGAAATGTGTAACCCCTCGTATATACAGTACACTGAAACCCAGAATTAGTGCCACCTTCCATCCCAGGCATTTTTTGGTACTAAACAGCAAGGGCACACAAATATTTCATGTTTTGCTGGAATTTTATGCCATGAAACAAATAGACATCGTGCAGCAGGTCTTAACTTGATAGGGAAGTAAGCTATACAAGTTGAAAAAAAGTCGCTACTTGAGGACTGTTCCACTGTTTGATAATTAAATTCTTCTAAATATTAAAGAGTACAGTGCAAGAAATTGTGATTCAAATTATTCAAGTCCAAGAGTAAAATTCTTCCAGGAACGGATATATTTTCGCACTTAAATCAACAAGCTTGAACCAATGGCACAAATGTGACTGAAGCCTCAACCAGAAAAGGTTTATTCACAATTTCTCCGAAGAATTTCAAGGAAATTTCACCTATCAGACGATCGCTGCTGCGTCTGAAATTCCATCAAACACTAATCATCTTGGTTATAATTTAGAAATGTTTTCTCCTTCATCCTCGATCTAAAATGGAAGTATACAGCGCTGTACACGGGAAATGCGGTATTTTGCAATTTCTTTCAGGATAACAGAAGAATGTAGAATTTCAAGTTTGACATCGTTTGAGTGTTTCCTTTCTTGTGTACAGTACTTGCAAACTCCTTCAGTAGAAATGTGGTTTGGCATGTTGTATGTTTGACGATTTGTTTTTGTTTTGGCGCTGTTCGGGACGTGCCGGTTCTGCGCTTATGCTGCTGCCCACCAGTAGACAATAGCCCAGAGGAGGAAGAAGACGAAGAAGAGCGGGTCGAGGAGGAGGAGGAGGAGAGAGAGACCATCTTTGTGCAGCAGCCATCATCAGCAGGAAAGGAAGAGGACAAGTTATTGTGGCCTTCCCCCCGGCGCCACTGGTACTCGGAGGAATGGCTTCAAGCATCACGTTCGCCATCATCACAACCTCCGATCCCGTCATCGTGGGACAGCAACAGCAGCCGGTCGTCCTTACTGTTGCGATCGCCGGAGGAAGAGTCTGCTGCTGGCGGCGGCAAACATGTGTTGGCGGGGAGACAAGGGATGGCAGGTGCGGGCTTGATGGCTCGCAATACAAATCGTCGCAATGGAAACGTTGGTGATGGTCACCTGCCGGAGCTCATACTTTCCTTACAGAACCTGGATTTGAGCTTGTGAATGAAGCGCAGGTACGCATCACGTCATCACTCAATGATGACGTTCTTCATCATCTTGGCTGCTGCTGCATGCTGGCCATGCATATCATGCTTTTCATCTTCTTACCCCTTGAAAAATTAACCATCTCGTCTCGCCCACAGCGTGCGCTGCAGCTTTGATTTTCTACAATATAATTTAGAGAGAGAGGCAGAGATAATACCTATAGTATTACTGTACGCATTTTTCTACTGTGGCCCACCTCAATATATAACACGTGTCGAGTATTTTAAACGAAACAACAAAAAATGACACGAAAACTGCGTATGCTGTACGTATCACAACATGTGCATTACAATTTTTACAACAATCCTTCGTTTCGAGAATATACTGTATAGTGGTTAATTTTATCCACATTATGCGGGCAATAATTGAGTGACGCTTGCTGGTGGATTATTTTCATGACCAATAACATTTGGTTGGTTGGTTTTCTTCTTTTTCTCAGGGGACGGTGGGATCCACTCTCCATTTCCGTGGCCCTCCAAGCACGTGTGTTCCCGGCGTATGTTCTCTTATTGGAGTCAGACTTTCGACCTGACCGATGACAGGTGTCTTCATCATACCATATTTGCCTCCGTTCATTGGCATACAGAATTGCAGCGTGCACCATTGCTCATTCGCGACGCTTCCGATCGATGGTGGCAGAACGTTCTCACCATTTTGCACTTGCCAATAGGTGGCTTTCATGCGGATTACGGCATACATCATGCACAGTAAAATGCATTGCCTTGCTCTCCAGCACAAACAAGTACGATCTGACGCAACAAAACTTGCCATTTCCTTTCTGAGTTGTGCCTTGGGTGGATTTTTTCCCTACGAAATCCCGTAATGGTTGTCAAAAAGCGGAATATGCTTGATAGTGTGGTACCTGCTGGACGGCGTGTAATTGCTGCAGTAGATCAACAATCGGCTGATGCTGAGTTGACCTGCTCTGCTGTGATCAAATTTTATTGAACCTCGTGTTGTGGCAATAGGATACCAAGACAATACCAAAATAACCTCGTGTGACTTCTGGCCTTTGATCATATGAGCGTTCTATTACTAGGGATGCTCGTTACTTGATCAATGACGCCTGAAGTAGCTTAATACCCATGATTGAGGGAGCATGAATTGAGTATATAGTGTGGGAGTGGACGAGTTAACCGTGAAGATGCTGTTGATGGATGACATCAGGTTTTGTATATGTAGGCGTGAATGGTGAGGGATGAGGATAAATGACATTTGCCTGATGTGCTGGACATGACGGACGTCAATCAACGAAACCATGAGTTTTGCTTTATGCTATTATTTTGATGAGCCACTGTGATCTTTTTTTTTCCTTGTGTGCTGATGCTGATAACCGAATCCAAATCATAGGGGGAGAGTGGGATATCCTGGATGCCAAGTGATTCCATTGCACCTGGCATAGTGTACGTTATATATAGGCTCAAAATTTGTGATTAGATTGATTTATTGATATCCGCGATTGTCTCCCCCCCACACCACTCAACCCTTTGATCTTCAGCGTGTATCCATTATACAGTATCAAACAGTGCTCTCATTGCTGATGGAAGCCCCTTACCCTTACGTCACCATCACTCGGAGGGAGTTTTTCAAAAAATTCAGAGTCCGCTGTATACACATGAGCTTTTGATCAAACCTATAATTTGCTCTTAATTTCTTTGTCTGGTGCGATTTTAAATACAGGTGGTACCTCGCAATTCGACGGTCGAATTTGCAGGGAGGTTGACTTGCAATTTGACCCTTCGACCAGCTTTGGCCATTTTTTCGCATTTTTGAATTTCTGGGAGTGTATTGCAATTCAACCCTAGTTCAGCAACTGATTGGGGTCGAATTGAGAGGTACCACCTGTGTAGACGTGATTTCACCTACGTCATACTTCTGTGATGCCTGATTCCGCATCATGCCAGTATGAATGGAACCTTGCACGTACCGCACTACTTGAGAGGTTTCAATCCTGAGCCATGTGCTTGATTGATGTGGGTTTCTGGAACTGTGTTCATTTTTGTTGGTGTTCAGTTATTGGGGTCATGTGCAAGTGCAACATTCATGCATCATATCCAAGGCCACGAAGATGGTTTGTCTAATTGAGTTAGATGGTTAACTCTCTTCAGATCAGCACTCTCTATTTTGCGTGATTCGAATGCAATCCGAAGATACCGACTCATTAAGCCGAAATAATGTACTGTACATTTCTCATGCCCTACCTGAGCAAAAGGTGATGTAGATGACGTCATGAGCTCTTGCTTTGCCTATATGTACACTTTGCAACGATGAATTAAAAAAAAAAGGAGTCCACATTTTTGGCGAACTTGAAAAAAAAAAGCTCAGATCTGAAGTCCTGTTTTCATTTTTATGGCAATGTCGTCGTCATCAGAAATAGTATTTGCTTTCCAGTCCAGAATAGGTCGACATGCACTGCTCCGCAGCTATTTTGAAATTTTGTTCTGCTTCAATGTTTGAGTGGGGACCAAGAGGCAAATCTTTCACATGTCTTTCCATGCATATATCATTCTAGTTGTTAGACTACATTTCATCCCTGCTGTCAACGCTCATCTTTGGCACAACTGATGGTATACACGTGATCGAGGGGTATTGGCTGATGCATAAATATTTGGACATTTTTCATCCGGCATCCTCTCATTAGGAACAGAGGCAGAGCTTTTCTTGGCTGATGAATTCGTCTGAACTTTTTTTCTTTCTGTTGGTGCAGTAGGTGTATAATAGTGCAATATATGGTTGCGGTGTAGAGCGAGACAGAAGTCCCCATGCAGCATGCTAGCTGTGTTGCCTAGCTTCAATGAAGGCAATATCTTTTCTTCATTTTTTGGTGATCACAAAAATGTAAGATTGTATTGCATTTTAGAGAAGTTTGCAGGGCAGTGATGCGATGAAACCACAAAAGTTCAGCTTCCACTCTGGTCCTCCTGCGTCTTATTCACCCATGTTTCCCAAAATTTTCCAGACTGAGTGGCATCTTTCAACTGTCAGCAGAGGGTGGCATTCCTTTTGAAAAATGCATGGTGTTACATGGTCCACCGTGCTTATTCTGATGTGTGGCAATTGTACGTGTTTTCGTTTTTTCCTATGTTGGCATTGTGTTGGTCACATTTTGCAGTCAATGCTGGTCACGTGAAATGATATTGAGCAAAGATTTCATACCATTATTGTGCGTGTTTTTTTTTTTGTTGCGTTCATTGTGAACTGACCTGAATTCATGTGATTTCAATGAGAGACCTCTTCAGATTATTGCAGAAGTAATAAGAGCATGCAGCTGATGATGAGGTACTCATCATCTGCTTGTCAGCATCCCAGAGTGGCCTGCTATATAGGCGGTGATCAGGTCTATCCAACTGCTGTGCTGGTGCTTTTGCTGCTACAGTATATAGATCTTTCCAATTTAGGACGAGGAATGCATGTTCCTATACATCGCCAACCACGGCTGCTCAGTGAGCCGCAATTCATCACAATTAATCAATGACAATAATTACCTAAAATCCACCCGACTAATGATATGGTGAAAACTGTAAGATTTCTTCTTTTTTATTTTGTTCGCCACCTGATCGGTTTTAATACAGTGTACACGCATTTATCAAATATTGCTGTGAACATGCATACTGTTATTGAACCGACCAGAACTGGGGTGAAAAAAAAGGTTCTCTGGATGCTGGATGTAGCCAGGATGTAAATTGATACAATGCATACAAGAATTTCAATGCCGCATCATGTAGGCATTTAAATGTGATTGGACTCATATCCGCAAGCAATCCTGACAATGACATTTAATTCTCAACTTTCTGAATTTCACAAATTTTATGGACAGAAAGAAGGGGCAAAAGTTTATCCGTCTCATCTAAAGGTTTTCTATATTTTGCAGTTCCAAAGTTGTAGCCCAAAACAGGCCAACATTAATTCTAGCATTTTGCGGTCAAAAATGTCCAAGCAGAACACGATTTTTGCGTGAATCCGTCTATTATCTTGTAGGAATTTCGTAAAGCAGGGACCCAGCAGCGGTATACGTGCACTTTCTATCCTGGTATACAGCTCGGTCGGACGCCGTCTTGCTGGTTTCCAACTGCTGGATCTCAAGCCCCGGGTAGCGTGCTAGCTTTTCCTTCTGTTCAATGCTGACATCTATGAATGACAAATAAAAGTGGAGATGAGTCATGTAAAAGTTAGCACAGCGTTTGTCGGATAGAGAGAAGAATAAGTGCTAAAACATTACCGCCCGATTCCATCCGAGGATAAAGATGGGAGCTTCCTTTTCTTTACAGATGCCTGGACGTCACAGCACATTTTTCAACTAATCGCCGCTCACTTCCACGCCTCTCCGTTAGGGGCTATTTACTTTGACTCCCTCTCCCAAGGCCGTCAATGAGTGATTTTATGAATTGCGCGTGTGCTGCGTAGGAATTCCATGTTGACCTTGGTGTATGTAGGCTGTACAGTGGACTTATGTTTAACGAACTTAAATTGGTTCCAAATTATTGATAAGTTTCTAAACTGAGGGGGTAGTTAAGCAAGGGTCCCCTGTATACAATCTATTCGGAATCTAAACTAAGCTGACCTAACTAAACTCTTCTATTTATTTTAAAATTTGATTTTGAAACATGCGCCATTCAATTTTGCCCTAGAATCGTTTTCGGAATTTGTACCGCTCAAACATTGCTGTTCAAGTCACTCACTGGAATTCACTTGTGGCCCTGAGAGAGAAAGGCGCTGGCAAGGGTAGGGTGGAAGAGGAAGCCCTGAGCTGCATTGTTCTTGAGTGGAAGTTGTGCTGCGAGCGAGTTCTAGTTTTCCGTATCTTGGTAGAGTATCCGTGGAATTGTGATGTCGAATGGATGGACGTTGTGACCGAGAGACGGTGTTGGTCGTACTAATCTGGAAAATACCATGATCCAGTTTTTTCATAGTTTCCCTTCAGTGAATGCACGTGTTGCCGTTATGTGGGGTTTGAAGTGCTGTCAGATACGAGCTTGGGGAGAATTGGGTCTCCGAGTGTTGATGCTTGTCATGTTTTGGTGAGTTCATGAACGCGTTAAGCAAGCTGAGCATCGTTTTCAGTTTTGATGTTCTCTCAATTGTAAGTATATCCGACGTTGCTGCGCCTTTTGAACGAGAAATTCACGAAGCCGAACTTTCCCTGTACCAGTATCCGCATGTGCGAAGTGAAAGAATTCCTTATATCAGCCTTCTGGTGCGTGAAGGTACGAGTTGCATTTGTATTCTTGTAAAATATCTCTTCATGATGCGTAGATTCTGGTAACTGCTGTTCCGTTGTCTATCATTGCCGTACATTACTTCTGGACGAAACAACGCGAAGATGCGGTGGATTTTTTATCGGGATGGTCTCTCTCCGTTCTCTTCACGGGAATTATCACGAATTTGATAAAAATGACAGTTGGTAATTTCCCAGATTGAAATGCTCCTGGCCTGCTGATTGATTTGCGTAGGTCGCCCGAGACCGGATTTTTTCAGCAGGTGTTTCCCGGATGGAAATGGGATAGTAACCAAGTCTGCCACTGGACTTCTATCGTTCAGATGTTCTGGGGATATTGAAAGTGTCCTGCAAGGAAGACGAAGTTTTCCTTCGGGGCACACTTCCAGTTGAGGATTGGGCCTTTCTTTAATTTTTACTGTCAATTATCATAGGTTTCTTTTCCAGTCGCCTTCGCTGCTTTTGGATTTTGTAGTTTGTTCGTCGCCGGAAAACTGAAAGTTTTTCACCCAGCGAGACCATCGAAAGGTGTTGGGCTTTTCATTACCGTGATCCCTGCGTGTTTGGCCCTTTTGATTGGTATCAGCCGAACGTGCGATTACAGGCACCACTGGGAAGGTTCGCTAACAACCCTCTAAAATTGTGATGTTCTTCCAAATTTAACCAGCTTCGGCTTCCAGATGTTGTAGTTGGTGGACTTCTTGGATGCCTAGTTGCGTACGTTTCCTATATGCAGTATTTTTGCCACCCCTCATCAGCGTTCTGCGATTTTTCCCTGAGGAGTCAAGGGATTCGTGACTTCGTTCCTTTCAATTCTTCATTACCTGTGTCTTGTGCTAGCAGTTCTTCGAGCAAGGTAGATCTCTCACTGGTGGAAATGGGAAAACTGGCATAATTGTGATCTTGGCTGTTTTTTGTGGATGTGCAGTGGAGAATGGTGTTCAATCGTTTTATCAGAATCGAATTCATTTGTATGTGGTATCATCTGTTATGGATTTTTGTCGATCGCTGTGTTGAGTTGAAGCGTTCTAACATTTTTTTCCTTATGATCCGGCCCAGGCGATCGTTACGGACGCGAAATTGCTGGCGTGAGACTATGGTTATTTTCTAATCTGGAGTGAGCTTTCTCTGCGGGATAACTTTTTTAATTGAAACGGATTTCAGCATTTCAAATTGGAACAGAATTGTAGAGCAGCTATGTGGAAAGTCCGTGAATTAGCTGATAAAGTGTGAGTATGCGCATTTCTCTTCCATGTTCAGAAATACTAATCCGTTAGCTTTTCAATGTTAGGACCAATGTGGTCATGAACTACACGGAGATTGAAGCTAAGGTTCGGGAAGCCACAAATGATGACTCATGGGGCCCAACTGGTAGCATGCTTCAGGTTAGCAAGAATCAGGGACTCGGACCCAAGAATATGTGAACCCTGTCTTAATTGTTCTTCTCCTGTGTATTTTTCGGTGTCTCTCAGGAACTGTCGACGGCAACCTTCACGTATGAGCAATTTCCTGAAGTAATGGGCATGCTCTGGAAGAGGATGCTGCAAGATAATCGCAAAAATTGGCGGCGAACTTACAAGGTGAGTATTGTAGCTTGTAATGGAAGTTTTTTAATAGGTTGGTTTCGTGGCTACCAGTTCGTGTCTCTTTCTATTTTTGAAGGCATTGGTTGTTTTGGCGTACTTGCTGAGGAACGGGTCGGAGCGAGTGGTAACAAGCGCCCGGGAGCACATATACGACTTGCGAACTCTGGAGAACTACTCCTTCGTGGACGAGCAAGGAAAAGACCAAGGTATCAACATTCGTCACAAAGTGAAAGAAATGATCGATTTCATCCAAGATGACGACAAACTGCGTGAGGAGCGGAAAAAGGCCAAGAAGAACAAGGACAAGTACATTGGGATGTCCAACGACATGATGGGCTTCAGTAACTATTCCGCTTAAGCCTTAAGTGTTGTGTGAGTTAATTTATAACACTAGCTCTTACACCTTAGATCGGATGAACTGGGGAAACGAGCCATCCAGGAATAAGGATGATTTCGATACTTGGGATCCAAAGAGAGTGACGAGTACGACAGGGAAGAGTAATTACCGAGATCATTCGCCCGATTTGAGGTTTGTTGTGTTGTTAAATTATTAATTTTTATTATTTGAAACGTTTGCCGTTCTTTCTTTTTGTAAAGATTATTAATTTTTCATCCAGTGATGATGGCGGAGACAAGGTCGGATCAACCGTTAGAGCGAGCGAATTCAAGGATAGCGATGAATCTCCCACTTCATCCAGCCCCACTCGCAATGGAAGAATAAAAAAGCAGTCCAGTGGAGAATCGCCTGTGCGATTCACCCCTCCGCATCACCTTTCGTCTTGTGAATTTCGTTTGCCGGAGCACGTGAGTTTCATTGCACCAGGTTCGAGTTCACTCGTCATTTCCGGTCTCTGTGTTCCCACAGCGACCTGGCAGCGTGTCTCCAAAGAAGCCTGTTGCTGATTTGTATGCAAGTGATACAGCCGGTGGGGGGGACTTCGGTGATTTCGAGTCTGCGTTTCCCTCGACCAACGAATTGTAAGCCTCTTGAAATGTTCAGCAGTTGCGTATTCAAATAATGCGTTTTCCCAGTATTCTTACTTCATCAATTAATTGATAATTTATGTATTCAATAATTATTTCGTGAGCAATTCACGTCGTTTTTCTCATCAATCATACTCGTCGGATTCTCTACCTCGACTTTTCCATATGTCTATCTCCGATCCTACACAATATTTTCTTTTTCAGGAGTGGAGCGGAGAAAGATGAAGATTTTGCTGATTTTGCCTCTGCGTTTTCCGGGCTGAGAACTGGAGAAGTATTGAACATTCCTTCTGGCCCGCTCTCCTTGCCGTCGTCCTACGGGATTCCGAGCACAGGTACGAAGTTACCCGTGATATACAATGAATGTTTTTGTTGTTGTTTTTCCATTTTTAAAATTGCGAGTGGATTCATTATAAGTTCATGATTGATGTTCCTTTTTACGGTCTGTTGGTCTAAGTTACCCGGGGTCTTCAGTTTGATTAAAAACAAAAATTATAATATCCCGTCTAGAATCCTTAAAATTCAAAAGTTTGCATAGTTGTGATCATAGTGAATTGCGGGGAACGGCTGTGTGTTTGAGACGCTGTTCGTATCACAGTACTGTATCAGTCTTTCTTGTGCAATTTTACACGGACAGTATTGAAAGGACTGCTCTGTACACTGTACTGTACTATACTGTAATTATTGACAGGTGGCGTGGGCAATGATTTGCTGAATTTGAACGACGGCGGGTTGGGTGGTGGACCGTATAAAGGACCGCCGGCTGTGAGCAACATTGCTGCTGGCGGGTTGAACCTGTTCGGATTGAGTCAACCGACGTCTTTGCCGCCTCAGATTCCGCAGATGGACTTGCTGACCGAATTTGGACCCTCGTCGACGACGACGACGCTCACCCCAGGTGTGTGTTCTTTTTTGTTGTTGCCTTTTTCGCTGTTCATATTTCGTCACATTGTAAATAGACAAAAAGGCGTTCAAGTTAGGATCGGCGAGAAACTGGTTTGTTTTAGATGACATCTGTGATGAGATATCGGCTGTGTTGCGGACTCAGCCTGGTGCAATCCGCTGCAGCGACCCAGATGAAGAGTGGCGTCGTAACCGAGTCGAGGACCTGCTGCGGTCGTTCTGCTCATTCCTACCCGGCCCATTCACGGAGCAAAAGTTTTGTGACGTCGATAGTCGGCTTTCAGACCCGGATGTTGCAGTGGTCCACGCCTACGAACGTGTCGTCAAGATTTTGTTGTCCAATGGACATGCACCCATTTGGTTCCTCGTTTCGAGTGGGTTTTACCGCGAGACCATGGAAGGCGTCGTGGACGCTCTTGTGTGCGGTCAAGTCGAACCACACATTGGACTGCGCGTCGTGGACGAGTTGCTGAATCACGCCGTCAGCGAGTGGATCCTGCCGTCTTGCAAACCCGACGGAGATGCTGGTGCAATTGAAGATTTGGCCACGACAATTGCGTCATTGCCAGATGTTGTGGGCAATGTGTGCTGCGACAAATTCCCCCGGAATTATAACGAGGATAATTTCGCCAATCGTGTCGGCAAAGTGTTGCTGGATGGCGTTAGTGTTATTTGTGAAGCTTGTCGGAGGTGCGTAGACTGCTCGGTGCGTCCAATCACAATACTGCTGACGAAATTGTTTCGGCGACGCGGTGTCAACTGCATATCGCGGAAATTCCTTCCCGACGTACTGAAGGTGGTGCAAGAGGATTATGTGGCTCGACGAGTAATGCACGTGGTTTTTGAGCGTCTGGATGACCGAAGAACGTTTGATGCCATTGTTGAGAGTGTGGTTCGTGTCGCAGAAAGCCAGGAGGCTGTCGTGTGTCTGCTCGGTAGGTCAGAGCGGGTATCTGAGCTGCTCAGCTGCAAGCTGGCCTTCCATTCCTACTCGTCGGATGTGCTGGTTGCCCGTAAAATTGTGGGCTACTTGTCAAAGTGCGAAAGCCGAGACTTCGTTAGCGCGTTTGCTGAGAAGCTTGCCGTCGTTTGGGGCAACAAGTCGTCGCTGAACAATGTGTGCTTCGAACAACACGTGTTCATCTCGCGTCTGTTGATACTTGCTACCAAGGCCGGCGTTGCAGAAGCCGGCAACAGGAGTATCCTTGCACTCGTAACTGACGGAGTCACGAGGCATCTCGAGTCAACAGACGTTTTGATCCGCCAAATGGGCATGTCTGTTGCCCAGATTCTCTGCCCTCTTGTGAATCCTGACGGCCCCAAACTCGAATTTGAAGTTCCAAGTTGGAGTGGGTGTCGTGATTTGCATGATGAATTGGTAAGTCTCTGCAAAGATCATTCCGTTGTCGCCAAAGGACGGAAGGAAGAGGAGGAGGACGACGACAAGAACAAGAAGAGGAAAAATGAGAGTGTCGAAACGGTTGGATTGGATAGCGATGACGATACGGAAGAAGAGAATGATGATCATGACGACATAAACGGTCGTCCAATGTTGATGACCAGCAACGAGATCTTGACCGCGCTAGGAAGTGAAGACCCGGACGTTGTTAGTAATGCATTGGCGTCTGTACCTCGCACCGTGCCGAAGCAGATGGCCTCATTTTCGGAGCCAATGAAGATGGCTGCCTTGCTCCCGTTGATGGAGAGTGTCTTGTTTTCCCGTGGACATGAGGGGTTTAGATTTGATGCCCTTGTCACGCTGGCCAAGTGTGGCCCCGTATTCGCGCCCAAGTTCCTGGCTGACAAGCTGTTTTCGCGGGAACTCGGGACGAGAGAACGATTGGATGTTTTGTGCATTTTGATGCGGGCCGTGAAGGATTTGGACCAAGCGCGGACTGTTCGCAACGTTTCTAGTGCCAGTGAGATGGACGCAGTGGTGGATGCTCGGGTCCAAGCTCGAACCCGACGCTTCTTCTCGACGCCGCAGGTTTTGTCAAGCCGAGAGTCGACGAATGTGGTTGGTGGATTCTTCTATCCGCTGGTGGAACCGTTTTTCGGTTGCTCCTCTTTGCCCCCCGCGCTACAAGACGCGTTCGTGCTGGGGACATACATTCGGTGTTTGGGAACCATTTTGTCGTGTGCGGGACAGAGCCCGCGCTTCATGGACATGTCATCTGCCGGCCTGCAAGTGGTGCATTTGGTCAAGCAGCACCCAGAAGGTGCTGTGCGAGAGGCGTGCTTGTGGCTGGTTGGCATTGTGGCAGCCGGTGTTGCCAAGCCGTTTTTGCCTGACATGTTGGACCGATTGGCCGAGTTCGTGCGATGGATAAGCGATGTTCAGTTCAGGGATCCGCACGGCGGCTGCAGAGTAATGGCCGCCCGGGTTGGGCCAGTTCTTGCTGCGTGTTTCCACGTTGCCTCCAGTGGCGAACTTGATTCAAGCTGAAGATTCCTCTCTTCATCGCTGAGTTGCTCTGAGTTGCCACCTGAGTTTTGGTTTCGAATGTTGGGTAGAAAACAAAAACAAAAACGGAGACATAATATATGATCATCTATTTTCATGAAACAGAAATATTGTTTTCGTGGGGGATGCAATTTATCATCAGAGTTTTGCTTTTTCTCTCCCCCTCCTTCTCCTGCTCTTTTATTTTTTTAGCTCTCACTCGCCTTTTTTTTATATTTCAGGTGTACATCCGAGTTTGAACCCGAGCGTTGCACCAGATGCAAATTCATTCCCATCAATTGATATGGTGAGTTTCAATTCAAAGTACCGACTGGAAACATGTGCGGTACTGGTGTTTTCTTATCTCTTACTCCACGCCGACATGATGTTCAAGTTTTAAGTTCCCTCCATCAAGAATTACGGTGACAAAACTCACGAATCATGACTTTCTTTCGTCGATTCTCAGTTGACCACCTCATACAGTCAAATTCATCTGCATTTCTCTCGCCCTGCTACATCAATTTTTTTCCCTTATCGTCGTGCTTGCTAGCCGTTTTTTTAGAGGTGTTCTCGAAGACTTCACTTAAATTTTTGAGAACGTAAAGCATTACTGGCGTTTACTAAGTGATCGGTTGACGGAATTTCAGGCCAAGCCGGGGAACACGTGGAGTAACGTGGGTAGCGTGAATATTGACTTGAACCTGCGCACAGGGACCGGGGCCAGTGGGCGCAACAACGCACCCTCAATGAACCAACTCATGGGCCAGGCAGCGAAAATGTCACCCAGTAAGCATCCCTACTTTTGATGCGGGCCTTCCAGTTCTCAAGTGGCGATTCCTCTTTACGTTTTTACTTGACTTTTCTTTTTCCGCATCGAAAGCGTGGTTTTGATTCGCTGTACCCTTTGGTCTCTCGCGTCTGTCTGTCTGTCGTATCTTTTTTGTTTTGTTTCTGAGAGATCGGAGAAGGAAAAGCAGGACCCGTGTCTTCCTTGTGAGATTATTGCTCACAAGGATAGATCACAGAAGAAAAAAGAAACGTTCCGAAATGCGTGTCTTTCAGCGTGTTGTTGACTACGAGTTTCGATCCTGATGCCCTGGGTTTTTAATCTGGGACGACTCTTTCGCGGTTCGAGTAAGGGTTACATTGTGAAGCAATAGATGTTGAACAAGTTACCAAGGCAGTTTACGATGGTGGCTTTCCAATGAAAATGAGGAGGATGGGGGATGGATGGTTCTGGCAGAGCGGGAGGTGTGGGTAGCACGACTTGCACGTTGGACGTGAATGTGATGCGAACTCTGGCTGCTGGCAATGGTGCATCTTGGCCAACTGTTACCCCAGCTCCCTGTGGCTTATTTCTTCGCCTTGCTGACCGAAACACGATGTGGGAAGGTCCCGACATTGTCCAGTGCCTTCAGCGACATTTTTTGACGCACCTCGTTGAGGATGAATTATGACCACAGGAATCCCTGACTGCGCTGTGCGAGTTTTGCGGGATGCTCAATTTTTTCGTTCCTTTTCATCTTCTCCTTCCCACGTGGTTGTATGTGAGCGTGTTTCTTCCGAAATTTTTTTGTTCAAATCTTTTCCTCTCTTTTTTTTTGTGTAAGTAGACTTAATCCGGGTAGTCAGTGTTTACTGGAAGCACGGACCGGCCTAGTCGAAGCGTGGAGAACATGTAGCAGAGGTGAAGGAAGGTTCTTGAAAACATCAGTGGACGAGTTAACTTGAAAAATTGCGAGAAGAATGTGGCACACATCCCTGTCACAGATGTGGTTGTGCGCCAACAAGCGTTGCTCAGCATGTTCGGGCTTGAGTCGCTGGAAAACGAGAGTCTTCGTAATCTATATATTTTTTTGTCTTCTTGAATAATGTGGTGTGCTTTGTTTTTCCTCCCGATGGAGGTGGTGCACGTGCTCCATTGAGCTAATGGTTTGCAAATTTTTATTTTCTTTTTTCTTTTCACGCGCATGGTTTGCTGGTTTGCAATTGCTCTCGTCATATCATCGATTAGACTTCCGTCATTTGTATCTTCTCTTTTCAATTGTTCGTGGAAGAGGCGAGAAACCGAGAGAAATTTGTCGAGCATAACCTACTGGAGATGAAGATGTCTATTTTTCTGCGAGAAAAATGTGAAGTACACATGGAATACGAATGTTTATGGATAACGCGTGTTTTTTCTCTCTTTTATTGATTTACTGTGATGGAAGGAAGATGTGCGTAATTTGCGATTGGGTTGAATTATTCCAGACCTGCAGGAGTAGTAGTTGATCTATCCAAGAATGTCGTTGAACAAGTTTATGCACGAGAGGAATCCGTACAAGAATGGCGTCGACTTCAAGGCCTTGGCAGCAGCATTTCCAGCCTTTAGAGACGTGGTAACAAGTGTAAGTTGCATTTGAGAACGCCGCATCTAAGATGAAACGGGGCGGGGGTTGAAGGCAATGTTATGATTCCTCCTTTTTACGTCGTCGTCTATTAAGGACCTGAAAGGGAACTTGAAGCTGGACTTCAAGAGCGCCGAAGCACTGCAAGTTTTGACCAAGTGCTGTCTACTGAAGGATTTCCAGCTTGACGTGGACATCCCGGCAGACAGACTCGTCCCTGTCCTGCCCCTGAGACTCAATTACCTCCTGTGGCTGGAGGACTTGTTGGATTTGGCAGGCCTCAAGTCCTCCAATGAAAATCTTGTGGGTGCGGACGTCGGCACGGGGGCGTCCTGTGTGTTCCCGCTGCTTGGCGCCAGAGCATTTGGTTGGAATTTCGTGGCAACTGAGATTGACCCCGACTCAGTTTTGTGTGCTGTGAAGAATGTCGCGAGGAATCGGCTGGAGGATTCCATCAAGGGTTGGTTGGTTAGTTTGTTAGTTTTTTTTTTTTCACGCGTGACAACGTGTAATGATGAACATAATTTTTTTCTTGGTTTTTTTTTTCTTTTTTGCTTTGCTTTCCTTGAGTAGTAGTGCTTGTCAAGAGGGAGGAATCCATATTTGAGCCAGTGTTGAACGCGCTGGGAAATGGCCGAGTTGTACATTTCACTATGTGCAATCCCCCTTTCTTCGAGGACAAAGCTGGGTCAATCAAGCCGTTGTGGCTGGAGCGGAAGGAGATGCGGAGACTTGCCCTGGGGAATCCGCGTTCAGAACCAAAAAATGCCGGTACGGTTTGTTTGCGCCCACCCTCTCCCGTTTTATCTTATTGCATTACTGAACTGTAATTATGTTCTTGAAAAAAAAAAACTCATTTTTCTTGGTGGTGGAATTTCTAACCATAACTATGTTTGCTTATATATTTATATATTTTTTTAGATACGGGGATGGAAATAGAGAAAACCACTTCAGGAGGAGAGGTCGACTTCATTGCCAGAATGTTCGAAGAGAGCCGGAGTCTCGGTGGACAGATCAAGTATGATGGGAGCGTTTTTCCAATTTTCCGTCGTGATCCAGCCATTATATTTTTTTCTGGTTAGATCCGGAGAACCTCTTGCGTATTTCAGAAGGAGTCGCATGTACGAAATCATTACTTCGAGAGAATTGTATCACAGTTCAAGGACATGCAGTATAGTAGTGTAAACTTCATATTTTGAAATCATTCCTCTTTCACACGCATTTTCTGGCGCACTGTTCAAATGGGAACACTATTGTTCGTTCTTTTACACGACGAGTTCTCCGGCATTGGCCTGCGTGCGTTGAAATTACCAGGTAGCAGCGATAGCAATGCTCGTTTAAAAAAAGCGCACGCACACTTGCCAGAACCTTGATCGTGTCTTTATGAAAAAAATCCACTGTGACGCCATTTATGACTTGAAATGAATTTACAGGAGTGAGAAATTGCGAGTGGAATATTGGATTTTCGGGGAAATACCTCAATACTACGATTTTGGATAAGCATTGCGGTCGTTTACTAAAAGTCTAGGCTGTCCTGGTTACAGCGAACCTTGAACGAGTTTGATGGTATCAGTTGAGATTATATTATTTTACTGTGGCTTGGGATGGATCTTAAAAAGTTAGACTGCTGATGAAAATTACAATAGAAACAGCACCCACAGTTTGTAGTTTCCTGTCAAATGGAATTTCGAGTGTTTTTCATGGGAGCGTCCCATTGTGCTTAATACTAATTGAAATGAAAAGGATTTTGTTAAAATCGTGTCATTAATGGAACGCTTTTGCTCTTCGGAATGTCGAAAATCACTGAATTGTTTTTGACGATCCACTCCCCTTTCTCATGTCCCTTGAGCAAACACGAACAGATTTTGGCGAGGCTGACCTTGAATGTATTGCAATTTGCATTCATACCCACTGATACGAACTTGGTTCTGCGTGTAGAATCTTCACGTCGATGGTAGGCACAAAGGCACACCTGGTGCAGTTGAAAAAGATCCTGTTAGCTGGTCAGCCGAAAGCATTTGTGGAAACTCAATTCTGCCAAGGAAACACGATGCGCTGGGGTCTTGCCTGGTCCTTCTGTGATGGTCTCAATAATGCGCAGGCATCCGGTAACTTGGGCCTGCAAACAAAGAGCTTGTCTTGCAAAAAGCCAGAAAGGTCTCCCCATCCTCAGTCGAAGCACCCGTTGCCTCCGTGGTTCGTGCCCGATGAAAGGGATTTTGGGGGAAACGTGAACAAAGTTGCTGGGCTTGTTGAGCGCTTCCTGGCTGAAATCGAGGTACCTTGATTATCATTATTATTCCTTTTTTTTTACGACATCGTCTTTATGAATGGAAGGCATATTTACGTCTTGATTGTCAGCCTCATTAAAAAATCAGTGTTCTGGTGGTGTTCCGTGTTTATTGTCTGATTCTCTTGAAACCTGTTTGAAGATATGGATTGATAGGCTTACAGTAAAAGCTTTATTTGCTGCTTGTCAGCTTTGACAACGTTCACGAAAATATCCCGCATCCCCCCTTACACATACAGTACATTCGGCACATACCGACCTATTGCAAATAATTCACTAAACGCTGTACGTAAGAAAAGAAAAGAACATCACAGTACTGTACACAGTAATGCATGAATAATGAATTGGCAATCTTGTTTGTCTAAGAATGACAAAAATCACGACAGAAGGCAATTACTGAGCCTAAATTGAAGCACAAGGTTTTCAGCCTGTTCCCAGATAAATTATTAATTGTTTGAAGAATTTACAAAGAATCTTCGAGGAGAAATCATATTGAGAGATTCCTTTTTTATGAAGCTGTGAAAATCCTTAGTCTTCTGATAATCCGATTCTTCTGGCGTGGAATGCTGCGCAGAAGAAAAAGTGTTCTGGGAAGTGGCAATTCTCCAACCATTAAATATACACCTTAGTAATTTTTGATGCCTTGACTCAGGTGTTCATGCATTTTGTGTGAGCAGATTCATGCAATAATCCCCTACCAAAAATGCCTCTTGTTGGGAATGTAAGCGTAGAAAAATAAATACCGTGAATAAAAATGGGGAAGGCGCAGGCATCGTGTGAGAGAAACTTGCACGAGTGCTGTTGACACGTGTTTGAAAGGAAGCGCGAAGAAGACAAATACAGTACAATATATTCTTTTCTTTTTTTAAATACTGTACTGTATTTGAAGTGATGGCAGTTTGGGTTGGCGTTTGCTTGAAGGTAAACTGCTCGGTGCATTCGTCGGGTCCAGGCTGGAAATCGCTCGACATCACATCGAGCACGGGCAAGTTTCCGCATGTGCGGCAACTGCGCAGGGCTAGAGCGAGACAGCAGCGTGCTTTGGAAGAGCCGCCTTGTGCCAAGCGGAGGCGTCTGTCCGAGACCGAGCCGGCCGCCCAAGTGGAGATGGAAGCCATGGACGAGGCTGAAATCGTGGCCAGAACGCGGTTGTTCTTCACGGCGGTTGGAGAGGAGCAGCAGCAGCAGTGCGGGAATCACCGGGTTCAGGTCCGGTGCTCGACAGGGCAGACGGACGGCAGTGCGCGAGACGAGTTCTCTGTCACGCTTTTCCAAGTGGTTCAGAACCTGTTGCGCGGCGTGTATGACAACGATTGATCCTCGTCAGCCGCGGATGAGCAGACTCATTAAAACCGTTGCTTGCTTTCGATCTCTGCGTATCGTGTGTCTTGTCCTATCTATCGACTTGACTTGTCTGTTTCTTTCAAGTGTCAACGCCCCGCCTCGGTCTGCATCATCATCGTTATCCATACCCAGCCCCCTTTTTTAATTTTTAAGATCTTCTGTCTTTCCTCCGTTCCTCCCCTTCCCTCTCCCGCCGTTGATTCATCAATCTTTTCATTTATTTACTTGCAGTATTCTTTGTTCGTTTTCCTCCTTCTCCCTCGACTCGGCTCGTCTCGGTTTGGTTTATTGATAGATTATAGTGGTTGATTGTAGTGTAGTCAGTTGGTGTAGCTATTGGGTTCCTCGCGGGGGTGAAGTAGAGAGAGAGACAAGATCAGGGCTCAAGGACATCTTGATATTCATGACAACCTGGTCTGTGCTGCGCCGTGCCGTCAGTGGGTGTGGCAAGTGGAAGCGCGGCATGAGTGCAGTGGGAACGTCATCCCGGATCCTAGGGCATTTGCAAGTGGCGAGAATGTCGTCGGCCAATGCGGAACTGCTCATTCAGAAGCCCGAATTCGGCTTTCTTAAAGATGAGCTGAATTTAGAGGCCCGCAACTACGGCGTGTTCAATGGCAAGTGGATCGGCAGTGGCCAGGTGAATATTGGTAGTGAATACTGTACTGGTGAAGTCCTGTGTATGCATATCCCTGAAACGCTGAACGAGTTTCTTTTTTTTTCCTTTTCATATTTCTTGTTGCCTTCCTGTTATGCAAATTTCTCTAAAAATAAAAATACAGTACTGTATATAGAGCAATAAAGCCATGAGAAATTCGCATTTTTTAATAATTTATATGCTAGCCAATATTATGTTGTGCTGAAAATTGTCAGCACTTCGTGGCTCTCAGGCGTTGCAAGAAACACTGTTAGTTCATCCTTCTGAAGTTAGGTGTTGATGAATAGGCAAATGGTTGATTCTCTGCGATACCTGACTTTTTCTTTTTGAAGGTCCTTCACTGCAAATCCGCTACCTCCTTTTTTCCTGAATACTGTATACCGTATATATATTTTTTCATTTTATTCTTTAGACAAAGAAGTTTGTTTTTGCTTTGTCCACATTTATATATCCTTGATTCTCCAGATTCGAAGATAAACAAAGTGAAGGAGTATTTACGCAGCTTGCTAATGGGTGTATATCGAAAAGTTCTCTTCAGAGAAGTGTGGCAAAGTATTGAACTTGAAAAAAAAGAGTTACGGACAACGGCCTTCAGTGCCGTTTTTAGTGAGACTCATGTACTTTTGTCCTTACAGATCCTGAATTCACCGAAGCACTTCATTATCAAGCAATAGTAGATTTAACAACAGAGAAAATTATTCAACTACTGTAGTTTTCCGCGCGTGGTACGTCAGCGTACCATCAGATCAGAGCAACAATGACTTCGCTGAAAAGAACAAATGAAATCACTTTGAAGCCATAAAAATGAAAGACAATTCAAACTGCAATATAACAATCACATGTATATCCAGAATAATTCGCGGCAATTTTCAAATATATTCAATCAAGCCCAGGCAACTTCCTGGTGAGCAACAGGAAGAAGAGCATATGGCTAATACACGCTCATACGTAGATCAATATCGCATTTAATGACAAGTACTGTACTGTAATACATTACCCATTAAAATCTACTTTTCCACTCATTTCACAGCGAGCAGAAAATTCGTCAAGATGTTCGGAAGTTTGAATATTTCTCGCTTACAATATTATACTGTATATCTTTGACAACCTGGGAACATTGTTCACGTTTTGACTGACCATTTTTTTTAAAATAAATTATAAATCCAAAACTTGTTGGTGGTTTCATTGGGGAAGAGTTGGTTTCCCCGTATTTTATCTTGTTCAAATGCAATTGAACGCGAAAGATATCACTGAAGCAAAACAGTGGCATTGGAAAAAGTTGGAGAAAAATTGCGGGAATTGGAAATGAACCCCTTGCCAAAGAAAACGCCTAGAAGTTATGACTCTTCTGAGTTTTACTTATTGTGAAAAAGTGATGATTTAAAAAGTTCAAAATTATAAGAGATAAACGAATAATGCGTTAAAATCTTTTTAAAGAACTAACAACATGGCCTTGTTGAACAGTTGTAGTTATGAGACTGATGGTTTTTTCAACACATGTTACTGTACCATAAAGATATTAGAAACGGGTGATGAATTTTTAGAAGTGCCCCCGTAGTGTACTGTATAGGTATGTTGAGAAATATCGTTTCCAATTATTTTTTGATGAATCGGAAGGATATGGAAAACCAGTGAAGAATTTAACTCTCATTCAAGGCGGCCTGCTTCAAATTTCCGAAGTATTTCCAATCTTTCTCGAATACTGTATACCGTAAACTGAACAAAACATTGCATGATCAGGGATGCAGCATTAACAATTGTATGCTTTCTGGAAATGGAGAAATATTCTCCCAAAAATAGTGTTTCTATGAAAGAAACACGTAAACTCAGAATTTCTTAAGCAGAGCTAGATCAATTCTAAGGAAAATATTCTGCATATTTCCAATTTTGTGTACAAAATGCTTAACATTTCTTCTTTTTAATGAACTTGTAATGCTGCAAAAGTTGCATTTTTCTGACAATTCGCGAACATTTTTATTTGACCTTTGTACGTCTTCAGAGCCAAATAGTGTATGCAGTATACTGTACTGAGAAGGAAGGTAAAAGTATGTCTCCTAAAATAAGTGGTTTTCAACTGTTGCTGTGAGATTAATGCTGTGTCCAAAAAATGTTTTAAAGAATTAGATTGTTGTAATCAAATTTTTACAGAAAAAATTCCAAGTTTTAGACTGTCTTGACAGAGTTTCTGCTCACTGTGAAATGAGTGGATAACTTCAGCTGTAAACAAAAGTTTTCACTAATCATCACAGAGTATATTAAAAAAATTCTTGAAAAACTCAATAAAATAATACCAGAAGCCTACAACTTGACACAAGAAAACTGAAAGATCATGGTAAAAATTATATGTATGGGGTGGACCAAGAAAAAGTGAACAGATTTTTGACTTGGAATAGTTTGGTAGCGAATCAAGCTGCAGCAATGAAGAAAAAACACCAACGAAAGCTTGTTTGATTACCTTTCTAATGATATGTGGTTTCACAGTCCTAATTGCCACAGCATGGTCACAAGAACCATATAAATCAAAACTTTGCTAAAAAAAAAAAAGTTGTCAGGCACTAAGCTGCTGTTCTCCAGAGCTGATTTTAAGCAAAAAATGGGGTTCAGGACCAGTAATTCAACTATAAACCTTCATGCTACTTCAAGAGGGTGCATGAATTCCCAAAATTTAATAGGTGGCAGTGAGAAGTGCAAAAAAATTGATCTGTGTGATGTTGCTCCACTCCTGAATCCCAATGCAAGCTTCTTGCTGGGTCCCTGCCCCATGGCTCCTTTGTCCCCCTGATGCATGCAAATTTCTTTGGGATGACCCCCCTCCTCAATTTTTGGGAATGTGTGCACCCTCTTGAAGGCAGCATGAAGGATTCCAGTTGAATTACTGGTCCTGATTCCTGAACCACATTTCCCCCCTCGAAAACAGCTCTGGAGAACAGGGATAGAAGCTGCCTGACAACTTCGTTTGGGGCAAAGTTTTGATTTATATGGTTCTTGTGACCATGCTGTGGCAATTAGGACTGTGAAACCACATACCATTTCAAAGGTGGTTGGACAAGGTTTCATTTGGTATTTTTTCATTGCTGCAGCTTGATTTGCTACTGAGCTATGTTGAGTCAAAAATGGGTTCACTTTTTTTGGTCCACCCTTTATATATACAGTAGAGTACAGTATGTATATTTTTTTTACTAACCTTGAGAAATGCTTTTTCCCTGGATGGATTGGGGAAATCCATTGTATTATGGCTATCATAGCTAGAAGAAAAAGCAAATGATCCCATCATCCTTTTTAAAGATGTGATTTCCTTGCTATAGTCTTGGTATTATTTTAATGGCAGCTGTGTTTATAAAAAAAGGGAAGGGTTCAAAAAGCTGACGTTAGCCTATTGCTTATATATTTTTTCAAATGATGGAACGGATGTTGGGGTGGTCATACTGTATATAGGTGGAGGAGTCCGTGTGCCCGTCAACAAACCAGCCAATTGCCGAGATCATTCTCGGCTCGGACCACGATTACAGGCAGACAGTTTCTGCAGCTCGGGATGCGTGGAAAACGTGGGTGGCTGTTCCGGCGCCACAGCGAGGGGAAATTGTTCGTCAAATCGGAGATGCATTGCGAGGCAAGCGTGTGGCCCTGGGAAAACTTGTTTCACTGGAAATGGGTGAGTTACTGTGCATGCAGCCCGCCTGAGAGCCGCGCTGGCTATTGAAGAGAGGAAAGGGGATGAGGAGATCATGTTTCCATGAGCCGTATGTTTCCGGGTTTTTTTTTCAGGCAAGATCCTGGCGGAAGGCGTGGGAGAGATTCAGGAGTACATTGACATCTGCGACTACGCTGTTGGACTCTCGCGAATGTTCGAGGGCAAGGTGATCCCGTCAGAGCGGCCGGGTCACATGCTGCTGGAAATGTGGAACCCGCTTGGCCTCGTGGGCGTCATCACGGCCTTCAACTTCCCGGCTGCAGTCTACGGATGGAACAGTGCCATTGCCATGGTTCGTGTGGGATGCTGCATTCGTGTTGGGGCCCTGCATGTTGATGCTCAATAACTTGCGTGCACATTATGGCGAATGGATGTCGACGATTAAAGTGGTGTCTGTCTGCAGGTCTGTGGAAATGCTGTGTTGTGGAAGAGTGCGCCAAGCACGCCGCTCATCGCCGTGGCCATCACGAAGATCATCGCGGATGTCCTGGAGAAGAACAGCCTGCCGGGCAGCATCTGCAGCTTGGTGTCTGGGGGGGCCAACATTGGGGAAGCCATTGCCAAGGACCCACAGATCCCGCTGGTTTCATTCACGGGCAGCACGGCTGTAGGCAAAAAGGTGGGTGGTCGTGATGAGGTTGATGCCATTTGCACAACTTTCTCCGAGAAGACATTTTTATCTGGGTCGAGTTGAAGTGGCTTTACGAGGTCTGATGAATATAACTAGGTATACGTAGGTGGTAAAAAAAATAAAGAAGAGACGCAGAATGTATAGGAGGAATGAACGAATAAATTCTGGAAGATCTGATTCACTCTGCACGAATGCAAATTACAATGTATTAAGGGGGAAAAAACGCGAGGGCGAAATATAAACCTTGAATTCAGTAGTGATTTTTTTTTATTTGGAGCACTTTTCAATGTGAACTCAAGTTTTTGGTCTTCACTTATCTCACCAGAAGGACTCACAAAAATAATCTATCCGGAAAATCTATCAGCATTACGTTGAATTTTACCTGGATTGTACCTTGATGATGACCAGACCTAATTGAACGTGCATTACTCAACTTTACAATAAGCTTGACCGATTTATTTTGTTGAAAAATATTTTGGTGAACCTGTTTACTACGTTTTGAATACCAATGCACGGAAAAGATTACGATGCTCGATTCCTATTGCAGCTTTTGCATCTAGACGAAATTGGCTCTTTGGAATTATTCCCAGGTTTAGTGTTGCAATTACTGTAGTTGGAATATGTGTTGTAGCTTGGGAATGACGGGCAAGCACGCTATCAGTAATGGCTGACATTCAATTTAAGCTAAACAGCAAGCGGGTATGGATTACCTCGTTGCACCAGGAAAGAAAAATGAGTGAAATAAAGGAATACCGGTGAAATGACGAAACTACGGACCGAGTGAAAATCCCGTAGATTTTTGTGTTTTCCTTGCAAGCCTTTTGAAATTTTAGGTTTACCTTTTCTAAGAGAAAGCCAAGAGGAAGTCTCAGAAATATATGACCTTCATGTGGAGTTTTAATCCCTGGATTTGCTTTGAATATAAACTGTTTTACTTTTCTACTGATTTTCGCGGATCAGCTTGGTCTCGTGCAGTGAGAAATACGTATAGTATCAGTTTGCTTGACCTGTAAAAATATTTTTTCGCATTGACGTTGAAGGAAAAAAACAAAACAAAACGGATCCAGGGTTGATAATTCTTAAATAATCCCAGAATAAGGTGGAAGAATCAGAAAAGCAGTTGTTTGAAGATCAGATTATCCACTGTTCATGATATACTGTACAGTACTTGCGTTCTTCTTCCGAATGACTGCGTTGGTCTCTCGATTCTCTTCATCAGAATCACGGTTGGGCACCTTCTATATACTGTACTGTACTATTATGATGGTACATTACAGTACTGTGTATGAAAGCAAGTATAGAGCACTTTAACTGTATCCTTGACTTGTTTTCCGAGTCAGGTGGCAAAGGAGGTGTGTCAGCGATTCGGCAAGCAGATCCTGGAGCTCGGCGGCAACAATGCCATTGTGGTGAACAAGGATGCGGACCTGGCCATGGCTGTGCAGTCGGCGGTGTTTGCGTGTGTGGGCACAGCTGGCCAGCGATGCACGACGACCCGGCGTCTCATCCTTCACCAAGACGTGTACGATCAGGTGCTGGCCAACCTGGTCAAGGCCTATGCTCAGCTGGATGGCAGGATCGGGCATCCTCTCGACCCCAACACGCTCATTGGACCCATGCACACCCCGACTGGGGTGCAGATGTTCAAGGACGCTGTGGAGGCCGCCCTCAAGGCTGGCGGCAAAGTCGAGTATGGTGGAAAGGTTAGTGTGCATCAATTGTTGATTGATGCATGACTGCTGAAGAAAAGCGAGTGGAGCACGTACAATTCTTCCAGTCGGGCGCATGAGCAAGGTTTGATGGTCAGTTAGTTGATGATGAGTCGTTGATTTTTGAAAAGGAACTCTGGGCGCAAAAGGGGTCTTGATACGCAGAGATTATGGGGGGTCGAAAAGGGACCCGCAACAGTAAAAGGCATTTTTTTAAAATTAGGGATGCGCTCGGCAGATGGTGTGAGAGGGGTGACAAGAATAACGAATATGAGTATAATACGAAAGTTATTTTGATTGGGCTTTGTTTTTTGTTTCTTCCGAAAAAATAAAAATAAAAAGGTACTGGATCGTGCAGGGAACTTTGTGCAGCCCACGATCATCTCTGGCCTGGCCCACGACTCGGAGCTGGTGCAGAGGGAGACCTTTGCTCCGATCGTGTACGTGTTGAAGTGCGCGTCCCTGGACGAAGCCATAGCGTGGAACAACGAGACTGACCAGGGCCTGTCGAGCAGCCTCTTCACTGGTGACATTGGCAGCATGTTCCACTGGATCGGACCCCTGGGCTCGGACTGCGGCATCGTCAACGTCAACATCCCGACTTCCGGAGCAGAAATCGGCGGAGCCTTTGGCGGCGAGAAGCACACTGGCGGCGGTCGGGAGAGTGGCTCCGACTCGTGGAAGCAGTACATGCGTCGGTCCACGTGCACCGTCAACTACTCGAAAGCTCTCCCACTGGCACAGGGCATCACGTTTGAGTGAGCCCTGTTCTGTCCTGCCCTTCCCTGCCCTGCCCTGCTCTGCTCTGCTGCAACACGAGCAGCAGCAGCAGCAGTTGATTGATGGATTGATTGATTCACTGACGGTGTATTCTGTGGTACTTCTTTTTTTTTTCGCCGGCATTTATTCTTCCCTTTCGTATGGATGCTTGATCCTTCTGATGCTGGTGGTGAAGGGGAATGTTATTTTGTTGCTATTTTTGCTTTTGGAAATCCAGATGGTTTGTGCGTGTGGCTGCGTTTGTTTAATGTACTGCGTCTGTCTACAATAAGGGCAATATGCTGGTGATGGTTCCCTCGGAGCATCTGCTGGTTATATCCTCATGAGAATGTAACCCCGATGTCTCATTAATATTGTTCACTGCTCGGTTTCCGAGCCAATTCAAACTCGAATATTTTCGGCGTGTTGCTGTGACATGTGTGCAATTCATGGTTCTTGCAGGGTTGGATTTAACAAAGCTGTCCGTGAAACGAATTTTTAAATGCGTACGGTACAATATTGTTCTTTGACTAATGTTTTTCATTGATTATTAATGGGCATTCTTGGCCAGAAATCCGCTGCAGTTCACAACTGGAAAAAAATATGTATATACATTATATATATATATATATATGCAGTATGTTCAGTAATGCAAGGCTCAAACAATTTCCTGATGATAATGTGACAGGTCAGGTGTGGAAGACAACTTGGTATGGGTAATATGTACATTACAGCTCTGCACGACGGGCTATTGTTGGGCAAGCCGTATTATCAACAGTCGACCATTGTGAAATCAGAATCATTACGATGAAGTTTCTGCATTTGGTGGGCCCGTAATGTTTCAGCAGGCAATTGTCAACTCTGTGCCCGCAAAAACTTTGAATCGGCCCTCCGGAACAAACCCTTTTTATCTGAAACCTTTGCATGCTGCGGATATACTCATACTTGCCTTTAATTAATGCAGCAATGCACAGCAGTCCCGCGAATATATGATGCAAGTACTGTAAATTGAAATGTTGGGCTTTGATGCATCAGAAAAGAAATGTACATATGCTCCACAGCATGGAAAGGCAGAATCACTGTGAACCATGTACTTGGATGATGCATATGCTGCTGTTGCTGGTACTCCACTGTATACAGTATATACTGATGTGATACTGGGCTGTAACAATAATGAAAAGACAAGATGCCTGGCAAGAATGTTGGTATATTTCGTGGTTCCTCCCGCGTATACCAGCGCCACGCACGGCTGCGATCGTATGAAAGATGCTGCCAGCAGCAGCTGCTTGGTACAATGACACTTGTGGCCCCCGCCCCTGGCCCTCATCGATGACAAACACAATTATAAGGGCTCGAAAGTGTATCACTACAATATTTCTCACAATGCCGCTGCTGCTTGCGTGCTGAAGACCTATGTAATCCTGCACAATCCACATGGAAAACAATCGTCTCCTTCACACTCAAATATAATCATCAGCAAGTCACTGCTGCTGCTTGGATCATTCCCGCGCATGAAAAACCAACAAAAAACGACAACAGCACCGGCAGAAGATTCGTCTGATGCATCAGCAATCCCGAACTCGACGTATATTTCGACGCATTGATCGAATCCTTTTTTCACATCATCATCGTCATCATCATGCATGATGATGTCGATGCCTTTCGTCTCTTTCCCGGCCTTTTCAAATGAAAAGTAAAATAAATGGTACAGTAATTGAGGTTCATCCGCATCATTCTGTTCCTCGCATCAATGACGCGTTCCTGAGCAAAGGTGATGGTATTATATAGTACCCGCGCGCAATCAACGCATATAAAGAGGATCACATGTAAAACCGGGATACATTTATATATTATGTTCGTTCAAATATACCTCATCATCATCATCATCATCTGCAGCATTTGCTGCTGGTTGCTGGACGATGATATCATCGGGAATAACACATCATGCTGATATCCATCATCAGAACACAATCATATTCATCGTAGCTCATATATACATCACTAACGCAGCATGTATACAATACAGTATATATACAGCAGAGCACTCATCATCACCAGACATCATCTTCAGCAAATACATATATACACGCAGGCGCGAGAAAAATAAAAATAAATGCATGTATACCGCAAAAACAAAATTATACATTAGCCCTCTTCTAAACAAGATTTGTATCATCTATCTCTCTCACATTTCCAATCGAGTAACTTTTGTTTCTTATTATTGTTCCTGCTGATGCGTGCTGCTGATGCATGCTGGGAAGGCCACCATTTTGATTCGGCGGTATGCAGCATGTATACGTGATCTTTGCTCGTCATATGATAAACATGGTCATGTTACAAATGAGAAGAAAAAAAAAAAACTAAACGGTAGCTATATATTTACAGCAGTATACAGACCATGTAATACTGCATATATAGCTACTGTATATATTAAGCAGTGCATTACAGTATTTCATGGACAACATAACAACAATAACAGCAGCAGCAACATCAGCAGCCGCATATATACATCAGTTTATACACGAGGAAGAAGTTTTGTTCGATGCATACATTTTGATTTATCAACTGCTGACAATTAACGTCGAGCGTCGAATCATACAGCATATACAGTATTCCTCAATAAAAAAAAATGGAGTCTCTGGTTTTGATTGCAGGATCTTTTGAATCGCAGTCGCTTCAATTGGAAATGGTGTGTACGCGTGTGTGCTGATGTGATGAAAAATGGGTCTTATACAGTACTGTATATCACATGCATGATGACTCCATCATCTTCGGGTCATCATCATCATCAATATTGCATCGTCCTATTATATTTATACACACACGTATTCGGCATTTTGATTCACGTACCACTCTATATATACAGCAGTATGAAGTTCCGATTGTTCCAGTACTGTATAGCACATGCCGCTCGCTGCTCATGGTAACCACAGTTTTCCTTTTTCAGCTGTACGTTTCGGGCATAACAGCAAGAACAGAGGTATATTCAGCATATTACGACGATCGATGCTGACGGCATCAGCACTGATGTATACATCAGATGATGCATGAGCAAAACTACTGCTGATGAGTGAACACACGACATCTGACAATGATACCACAGTTGAGACGTTTGTTAGCGAGGTCCATGGAAATGAGAGATGTCGCTCGCTGCTCCATCATCGATGCCTTTCATATGCATGTAAATGGAAGAGGACGATGAATGTACTGTATACTGTACTAATAATGCACAGCATCACGCAGCCGCTAATATTATAAAGAGGATCTATCGACGATGACAGGCTGTATATTATGTAGCAGCAGCACAAGAAAGACGAAGACGACAGGAATCAGCATGTGTCGATCGCAGCATGATGTGAAAGCTGACGAAGAATATAATAAGAAGACGAAGATATGTAAGAAGACTGCTGTAACATCCTGCATCAGCAGCACAATACAGCAGTATACAGTGCGTTGAAGACTGCTGCTGCTGCTGATGCTCATGTGCTATGGTGCTGCAGATGATGGGCGTGCGTCGTTATTATTGTATATGCTGTATAAATGTCGTCGTTGTCGCGTGTATATGGTGTCGTCATATCAGACTGACGTCGGCACCCCGTTGACGGTGATGTTGACGTGTGTCCAGTCCGGCATCTGCTTCTGCTTGTCCGCCTCGTACCGACCGCAACACAGGATCTGCAGCAGCGTGTCCTTGAATGCCTCGCGGAAGTCCTTGTTGAAGTAGGCGTAGATGAGCGGGTTGAGCGTGGAGTTGAAGTAGCCGATCCAGAACACGGTCTCCTCCAGCATGGGCGGCGTGTGGTCTCGGAGCGGCACGATGAGGGCCGTCAGGAGGTACCAGGCGAAGAAGGGGAACCAGCAGGCGAGGAAGGCGCCCATGATGATTCCTTGTTGTTGTTTGAAAAAACAGGAATTTAAGCAGCGAGAATAAATATGCAGAATTGATAATTAAATGACTGCTGCGTATAAACTGTATACTGTACGTACCCAGGGTGCGAGCAGCCTTGTGCTCGTGCTTCATCTTGTGCAGCGTGCCCTGCTGCTGATGCTGGCGCTCGCTCAACCCACTGCTGGCGGCGGTGTTGGTGGGCGAAGACGACGAGGTATTATTACCGGCAGCAGCAGCGTCGGACGCCATCAGCAGGTGCCGATGATGATTATTCTGCTTATTCTGCTGATGATGCGGCGATGATGATGATGATGATGATGATGATTGCTGCTGCTTATTGCCTCTCTTCGAGGATGACGAGGATGCTGCTGCTGTTGTTGTTTGGTGCAGCTCCTCCAACTCCAGGTGCTGGTGGGCTCCCACGTTCTCCAGGAACATGGCCGACACGCGCCTCGTCTTGAGCATGGCCTCCTCCTGTCGCTTGGCCTCGCGATACACCTTGCCGTAGGTCATGAGCATGATGACGGACGGGATCCAGAAGGAGATGCTGGACGACACGACGCCGTACAACTGGTTCACGACGAAGGGACACTCGTCGGGGTGGAGAGCCCGATACTCGAGATGTTCAGAAGTCGAGTACCTGATGATGGTGTACAATGTATATATACATATGTATATGTACAGTACATACATATTGTATACATGTGCGTGCAACAAAACACTATATACTCACCAGCCTGCAAATATCGGAAGGAACGAGATGAGGATGGGACAGACCCAGACGACCAGGATGGACACGCGCACCCGCTTCTTGGTCACCGTCATGGGGTAGCGCAGTGGGCGCACGATGGCGTAGTAGCGGTCCACCGAGATGGAGCAGAGGTGCAGGATGGACACGGTGCAGAAGAAGACGTCGGTGGAGTTCCAAAAGTCGCAGACCCAGGGGGCAAAGACCCACTTGCCGGCGATCGTCACGCTGGCGTTGAACACCATGGGCACGGACGCGACGAGGGTGTCGGCGAAGGCCAGGGACACCAGGAAGTAGTTGGTGAGGATGCGCAGCTTCCGGAACCGAACCACGCTCACCATCACGAGCACGTTGCCGGAAATGGCCGCCACGATGATGAGGCCCATCACGGCGGACTTGAGCCACATGAGGCCCTCGGCTCCACCATCACCATCGCCACCACCACCACCACCACCACCAACATCACCACCACCAACACCACCACCCATGCCCATGCCCATGCCCATGCCCATACCCATGTCGTCGGCACTGTCGTCACCAACACCACCACCGACGACACGACCGTCCAGGATACTGCCGCCGCCGGTTATTCCCCCTACTGCTGCACCGGCAAACAGCAGGTGCTGCTCATCACCACCAACACCAGCATCGAAACCAGCACCACCTGCAACTAAATATATAGATATGTGCACCAGCAGCAATCAGCTAGTGAATAAAACATTGAGTACAGTATATGTATTATGCTGAACTGGGTATATATATATATATATATATATATATATATATATGTACTGAACAGCAGTACCAGCAGGGCCTTTCAACCATTTGGAAGCATGTACTGTTACTTTTTATCCTTTTTTTTCTAACCAGACCCGTGTATCACCAATTTCACATTATATTTGAGGAATACACGAGCATTTAGCTTTCAAGTCTTGAAATTTGTGCATTCTCTTATAATAGTGCCTGTCATTAAAAAAAAAGAAACTAAAATCAGGCTTGGGGTGTCATTTCTTATAAAGGGCTTTCAACTGGTCAATGGCTGATGGGACATGTTGGTATCATTTGTTTTTGTTTCTTCTTCCATTTCAAGCATACACTCTTTTTTCTCAGATTTGTGACATATATACTGCATGTGAATAAATTCATTAAATTAACTTAAATTAATTGGCATAGAATACAAGTTGCCTTCTGCTGATTTACATTTACACATTTAAAAAATGGCTTTCTCTCAACGGTAAACCTCAATTTGTCCCCAGAATAGGTGCACTGAAAAACTTGAGCACCATGTCCATCAAATGTACACACTTTAAAAAAATTTACACTTTGGCCGACTTTTGGTATATTTTGAGGTTATTTGAATAAAGAGAGAGAGAGAGAAAAAGATCAAAGCAGAGGATAAAAATTCAGAAAAACCCTAGCAATTGAGTAGTCAAAATTTGTTTGTGGTGTCGAGTGTTTTGTGGCTATTTTGTATTCGACTGCACCATAATATGGCATTCATCCATTGCATTTTCCTTAAAAAAAAAAATGGAATACCTGCAGGATTAAATCAATGAAATACTAAATGCCTTGCCTCAGCAGGATAGGGAGGGTTGGGAGAAAACTATCTGTTTCTAAATAGCTCCATGTGATGCCTGATGTGTTTTGTGGTTATATGCATGGAGAATTTTCCATTGGAAAAAATCAGATATTGGCTGTTGCCTTAGCCACTTATTCCTGCTTGTGACCTCTTTTATGCACTAAACCTCTGCTTACCTTTTTTTTTTGGTACCAAGACTGTGTTGGCCTGTTTTTTATCAAAGCCAGAACTAGTGTCACATCCTTCCTCAGTAAGAAATTTTAAACAATTATTTATGATTGCAGAATTTCAAGCTGCTGCTTGGCATGTCAGGGAAATTTCAACTGAATTTGGTCCCATCCTGTTGGCCAGGTGATGAGGAGTCAGGTCCATGTGCTGAGTTTATAAATCCTTAAATCTCAGTTGAAATTATTCACTGCATCAAAATTGTAAAAAGTTTTCAAAAGTCTCATGTGTCATACATTTAAAAAAAAATTAAATTGTAACTTTTTGAGTCACAATATCTTCAAAATTTTCTTTTTTCTTTTGGAATCTGGGTGAAAATGTCTGACTTTAAGACACAAGTTTTGCGTTTCACTTCGGAAATGTGCAAAGAATCAAGTATTCATTGAATCGTTACATTTTATTAGTGTCCTCAGACAATTCATAGTGCCAAATTAGCATTTGATCAAGTTTCTGTCAATTGTCATGAGTTGAAGTTGAAAAAAAAAAAATGTGCACTTCCAAAAGTGTGTCCACGTAATGCAGTCATGTACCACCAGCAGGGGTATGCGTATACCACCAGTTGAAAAGCCCTGCCATATACACAATGATTTTCATTAGAATTGCCACATTTGAGTAGTAATGTACACTGATAAAAATAATACATATCCCATCCCCTCTATATGCGGTGTGTGCTGTACTGTATACTGTACTGTATAAGCATCACCATTACAAAGCACATGAAAGAAGAAGAAGAAAAAAGTTTAGAGTACAGTAAATAAATGGAGGAAAAACTTGAATGCTGCTTATTCCATCAGTCGAGATGCTTAAAGTTCATAATTGATCTTTTCTAACTCTGAGAATGTCTCTCTCTCTCTCTCTCTATACGTATACCGTACATATATAAATGCGACAAAAACTTTTCTCACAAAACATTCCCTGATGGAAAGCGAAGCTATTTATCCTCTTCCAACCTTATGCATGTTGCTGTTTAGGAAATCTCTCCATCAGAACAAATAGAAACAAGAGAAAAAAAAGTAAAGTTTGGTTCGGCTGCATATAATTGGATTCTCTTGAATTCAAAGTTCCGCAGCAGCACGCGCGCGTGGCTATTTATTTAATCTTTTATCCCTCGTCAGTATTGCTCTTATTGTCTTTCTTCTTTCTAGAATAAGGATGCTGCTGCTGATGATGATGATCATGATGATGATGATGATCAACGATACAGCAGCTGTCAGACCGTAAACAGCAACTGTTTCCTTTCTTCAATCAAGTGGCACAATCTCAATAAGCTCCCCTTAATTTATAGATGTGCGCAAAGGAAGAATGTTGTTGCATTAATTTTGGCGCTTGCAGTCGGCGGCTTTTCAATAATTCGAGACGCATTGCATATAATGAAGGAATTAATGTTGATCTCCTAAACAGCAAGGAGCTATACTGTATTATTCGTGAATGAGCTGCATGTATCGTCAGGCGGTGAATAATATTAATAATAATAATAATAATGATAATAATAAAGACGCACTCACTCGGCAATAAGGAAGAGGACGGGGATGACAAGAAGGACCCGTTGCTGGCCAATGCCGTGAATAACAAGGACGAGTTGTTGTTGTTGTTGTTGTTGAGACTTGCAGCAGACGCTGAATCGTTCCAGCTGCTGATGGTGCTGAAGGTCGGCAATGCGGAGAAGAAGGTGTTACTGCTGGTGGGTCCAGCAGCAGCAGCAGAATGCACGTCAGGGAGCAGCAGGTGATGGTGGTCGTCGTCAGCATCACCGGACGAACCGTCCATCGTATATATCTCCTGTCCCTGCTGCCGACGCCACGTGTGTGTGTGTGTGTATAGATACACACCTGTGAAGCAATAAATGAAGCAGGCACGTGAATACAAAGGCAATTGACGGACATTCCCCCATCAACATGTGCAGTAGCAATAAAGGAGTCATTTCCCATTTCCTCACAGCAGCACGCGCGTTGTCCAATATCAAGTGCTGCTGACTGCGCATGATGACGCATTACAGTATATAGTTACGCCGTCGCTTTAATAAGACACCTATTGGGTCCTTGATTCCCATTTATCACAAACAGTTTATATACGTGTATACAGTACAGTACAGCTGTACAGCACAGTTGGTGTATATGATGATGGTCAGCATGTTGGAATCGAGACGACGACGACGAATAAGGTGATGCTGCATCACCGCCGTACGGTATTGGAGAGGCTTATTTACATGTATACAGTAATGAGTATAGTACACGCTGCACCAGCACCAGTTTGGATAAACTACATATGCTTGTTGCATTACTGCTGCACATATATATACGTGTACCATCACGCAAATACTGTAGGTTTTATTCATGCAAGACTCGCGGTTCGAATGAATAAGCAATTGCTGCATGCTTTATACAGTATAGGTAAAACCTGAAATAACATGAGCTGATTTGAAAAGAAGAAGGAGATGAAATAAAGGCGGCGGCTTTATTTGTGATGCTCATCGTGCTATGTGCAGTAGCATATCTAATTAATATACGAATAAACAAGTGCAAAATATTTTGTGTGTTGATTGGCGTGTATACTGTCTTCTACATAGCAGTAGCATAACTCGTCAGCACTCGTATTCCATATATATATATATATATACAGAGTACTGTATATACAAGTACTGTATGCATGAAATTAAGAGTATCATGCAGCAGTAATAATAACAACCCGCGACTTGTACCAAATTTATCTTGATTTGCACGTTCTGCTGCTCCTCTGCTATACCCCGTCCTCTCCCCAACAACTATATCCTCCCTTTTGGGAGTCGGTCGGTACGTGCATATATAGTACATCAGTATAATATACCGGTACAAGGACATATTATATGCATGTATAGGGAATAAGAAGGAGACGGGATTTCCTCATCATCAGCGCTGATTGGGATGAGGAGCAGGCGGAGAAACTTGCCGCAATTTCAGCGGGATTTTTACTCATCGGTCTATTCCTGCTTTAGACAAATATATATATATATATGCGCTCTTATTATAATACAAAATTGCGAACCCTCCACTACCCCCCACTGACGCTGCCCCTGCCTTCATTACCGCATGCAAATGAAGCCGCCATTTTAATTGCAGCCTCACCACCAGCAGCAGCACTGCACGTCTTGAGCCATCTATACCGTCCATATATAGTGCAGTGCGCATGTATATATTTATAAATACTGTATATGTACTTGTAGAGTATACTGTACTGTATATACAGTACAATAAATATTGCATCTGCGTGTACTGTACAGTGCTGTATATTGGTGTCGCACGGGATGAGGGGCAGAGTTTGTTTTGCTCTAGCTAAAAGATGTTGTTGCGACAGGTGTATATACAGCATGCATGAATGCATGCACTCATTGTACATATACAGTATATTACAGTATGCACATCAGAGTATCAATTGTGTGCATGTGTGTGCTCCATCATCATCAGCAGAGATACCATCAATGTTCGGGGTATATACATATACTGAGCCATTATACAGTACAGTACAGTACAGGCAACTGGTATCGAGTATAATTGCTGCATGCTCCACGGCTGTCTCGATGATGGCAGCAGCAGCAGCAGCAGCAACAACAACAACAACAACAACAACACGCACTATATACCTGCGCATGAAACACCCTGGCTCTGCGGCAGGTATTCCAGGTACCGTACTGCGTCTGTATACTTGCTGTTGTTGCTGTATTAGTACATCTAGTCGACATTATTCTGCTGCTGTTGAGTAACAATCGTAGTTTAGTATTGGACTCATGTCATCGTCGTGAGCCGATCAAGTGAAAAGACAACTCTCCGTTTCATATCCATCATCAAGCATAGCAGGGACCTGCTGCTTGTTGGACTATCCAGCATACGCGTATATATACAGTACAGTACTACATGCGATCGCGCCGGCAATGGAGTCATCAGTGTATACTGTACTACTACACAAAGCTCCATTATACTGTACTTTGTAGGTACACCATCAGCATATAACAATAAAATGAAAGGGGCAGAAAAATGCTCTCGTATAATACATCAAGGGAAACTAAGCTCAATAAATGACATCGGCTCGGTCATCTTATTTCAATACCGCGTACAGTATATGAATAAATATGCATGTATGCTGATACACATAGGCGGTGATCAAGTCAATTACATGTAAATATAGCTGATTATCCCTTTACGACTTTGTACATTCCTTATTTTACATCAGTGGTACTTATTGTCCTCTATATACATATATTGTCCTATACCGTATGGTACTATATGGTCCTTTACATTTGCGGCCCTCATGTGATCGATGAGATCCCAGAAGTAAGTTCTGTGATGATTTATGCTGCATCATAATGCAACAGACTGGACAAAAACCGCTGCATGCTGATGGGTACAAACATTCACACATATACTGTATACAGTATTAATCAGCACAACGTGTACGCGTAGTACTGTACAGTACTTCATTATCCACCCACGCAAGCATTCCCTTATTTGTTGATGTATAACCGTGTGACACTTTTTCGTCTAGACTTTCCCATAAATCATCGCTTCTCTTTCCTGTATACGCACCTCTGCTCGTATATATACTCCTCACATTATGCTCTGATACATGTCTACTAGCTGCACTGTGCAAATTGGCTGCCAACAACCCGACCAGCAGCAGCAGCACGAGAGTGTTTCGTCCAGCAGCACCATCGGGTACTGCATGTACAGTATAGCACTGTATCAAACAGTATGCAGCAGTCACGCGAGCAGCGATGAAAGAAGGACGACGATGAGGAAACCCACAATACACTGATGTACTGTAAAATATCATGCAGGGTTGCAAGAATAATAAAAAAAAAAACAAAAGAAGAAAGGGGGGGGGGGGTTCATAATTTTTCCTNGGGGGAGGGGGGGGGGGGGGGGGGTGACGATGATGACGACGACGATAACAACTATGCCTACCTTTCTTCTTCTTCTTTTTGTACTTGTTGTTAATCATTATTATTATTATTATATGAAAGAGAGACAGGCGGAAAAAAGAGCGACTGATTCCAGGGTCTATTTTGGAAAGTACAGTACAGAACTTTTTATATACAGTATATGCTGGTAAATAGCAAGCAATAAATACCACTTCTTGACCTTACTGATGCGTGCAGCTGGTGATGATGATGATGATGATGATGATGATGGTTTCTGCTGCTTAGCGTTTTTAAAAGTAAAATACATTATTTAAGTTATAAACTGATGTACAGCAGTAAAGTATAGGACAGTACAGTATATACCTTTATTGTATTGAACTTTGCCACAGCATTACTGCATGATGGACCCGATACATTCTCTTGATCAGCATCATTCGACTTGAATACTGCAATGCACAGCTTTTGAATGCTGGCATTTGAAATTCAGTGCCTTTTAGCTGATGATCCTGATGTGAATATTTACGGTAGTACAGCTATACCGTATAATACATGTATACACATAGTAGTGCGTGCAGTACATTCGAGTGTTACTACACCCTGGATCAGCTCTTCTATCGCATCTGTACCCGATAGAGAGAAATTTATTAGTTTTTGCGTTTTTTT